GTCTTCACAGCAATAGAAACCTAATTAAAACAGCCATTCCCACATCATAGGTTTTAGAAATCATAACCCCCACAATTATGCATCAAATGCTTTAATCACTGAGCCATCTCCCTGTTCCCAAACTTTCCTCTTTATTTATTACTTTCCAAAAGCATTGGCATGTAGATTTTTTTTCTTTAAAAAAGCCATTCCCTGAGGCCAGGCGGTGGTGGCACACACACTTTTAATCCCAGCACTTGGGAGGCAGAGGAAGACAGATTTCTGTGAGTTCTAGGCCAGCCTAGTTTACAAAATGAGTTTGAAGCCAGCTAGGAGCTACACAGTAATAGACCCTGCCTCAAACAAACAAAAACAAGCAATAAAAATCTTAACAAAACAAGTGGCAGAGGGCTTACCTCACATGTGTGAGGCCTCAGGTTCAATCCTCAGCACTACATAAAGCAGCATGTCCTGGGTTCCAACTCTCTTTCCAGCCAGACTTCTCTCATTGTGGCTCTTGAAACACTACACTTGATAGCTTTGGGACCTCACCTCACCTCCCTATCACTCCCCAGCAGGCTGGAATTTGACTCCCACTTCCATTCTTTAGATGTTACTCAGGTCACCAGTGTCTTCAGTATTTTTAAATCACAGTCACTTTTGCCCCACTGTTATTGCTATCTCCACCTATTTTCTCAGTTTCATTGATAATATACTCTTAGTTTCTCAGTCTCTTTGGTTATCCCACTTCAGCCTCCACCTCTAGTTTTCCTGAGTGGCCTTCCTAAATTACTGGGATGGTTTGAATGGAATGACCCCATAGGCTCATGTGTTTGCATGCTTAGTCCCCAGTTGTTTGCAAGGATTAGGAGGTGTGGTCTTGCAGCAGGTGTGTCACTGGGGGTGGCTTTGAGGTTTCAAAAGCCCATGCCAGGCTAAGATCTCCCCCAATATCCTCCCTGTCTGTGGATAAGGATGTTATAAAGCTCACAGTGCTGTGCCTGTCTGCTTCCTGCCATGATTGTGGACTAATTCTCTGAAATTGTAAGCAAGCTGACAAATGTTGCCTTGGCCGGGCATGGTGGCTCACGCCTTTAATTCCAGGACTTGGGGAGACAGAGGCAGGTGGATCTCTGTGAGATCAAGGCCAGCCTGCTCTACAGAATGAGTTCCAAGACAGGCTTCAAAACAATACAGAGAAACACTGTCTGGAACCACCCCCCCCAAAAAAAAAAAACAAAGTTGCCTTGGTCTCTTTAAAGCAACAGAACAGTAACTAAGACAGTGACCTAGGTTAGTGTGTATGTTCTAAAATCCCGGATGTGTATTGTGAGTCTAGGAGTAGGCCTCTCATCTGAGCTCATGTGCCTACCCATACATTGTATGTCTCCTCTTGGGTTTCTTTCCAGTATTTCACTGATACAGCCAGTATTGAACTCATAGTCTTAGCCTCATTTGCTTTTAGCACTCCCTTTCCAATCGGTGGTGTTAGTGTTCTGTTATCCACTCAAACTAGAGATCCAGAAACCATCCTTGACTCTCATTACTTAGCTCATTGCATTTAAAAAGTCAAGTCAGGCAGTGGTGGCACATGCTTTTAATCCCAGCACTTGGGAGGCAGAAACAGAGGGACCTCTGTGAGTTTGAAGCCAGCATAGTCTACAGCGTGATTCAAGGAAAGCCAAGGCTACACAGAGAAACCCTGTCTCAAAAACCAACCAAACAAAAACAACAACAAAAAATAAAAAGATTTACTTGATTCAAGATGGGCATGGTGGCACAGAATTATAATCTCAGCACTTTGGAGGCCAAGGCAGGTAGTTGTGATCAATTGGAGGCCAATCTGGGCTACATCGTGAGAAAAACAAGCAACAACAGCAAGATGACAACAGTTAAGAATACCCCCACACACAAACAAGAAACTTTATCTTTGAATATGTGTTCCTCTTCCCTTTTTTTTTTCCTTAGCCAGGGTTTCTCTGAAGCTTTGGTGCCTATCCTGGAACTCACTTTGTAGATCAGGCTGGTCTTGAACTCACAGAGATCCTTCTTCTGTCTCCTGAGTGCTCCCCCCCACACCTAAATAAAAATAAAATACAAATTCTGAGATGGCATCCATGCTTTTGTCTAATAAGCTCTCAGTGTTGCTTATGTTGCTGGTCTTGGCACCCCCTTTGCCCTGGGTCCATATTAGAACCATCTGAAGCTTCTCTCTCTCTCTCTCTCTCTCTCGTTTTAAACAAATACTGATGTTTAAGTCTTACCCCCAGAGTTAGTGGATTGATTTACTTGAAGCTATGTGTGAGCTTTTAAAAGCTCTCCAGGAGATTCAAATATGCACTCAGGACAAAAAACAGTTGTTCTGGGGCTGGATAAATGCTCTAGCAGTTAAGAGAACTTGTTGATCTTGCAGAGGAGCCAGGCTCAGTTCCCATCACCCACATGGTGGTTTAAAACCACTCTAATGCCAGTTCCAGGGGTCAGATGCCTTCTTTGGCTTCTTCAGGCATGAGGAATATGGTACAAAAATACTTATAGGCAAAATACTCATAAAATAAAATCAGTGAATCTAGTAAATGAAGAAAGAACTGTTGTTCTAATGGGGAGACACAAAGATGATGTACTATACACAGGATGTTTATTGAAGAATAGTTTATAATATTGAGCCATTGGAATAACCCAAATGCCCAATAGTAAAAGAGTGGTTTAAAAATTATGAAATAGGCTGATGGTAGCACACATCTTTAATCCCAGCACTCTGTGAGTTTGAGGCCTGCCTGGTCTACAGAGCTAAGTTCCAGGATAGGTAGGTTCCAAAGCTACAGAGAAACCCTGTCTTGAAAAACAAAAAATAAACAAACAAATATATATTATATATATATATATATATTTGTGTGTATGTGTGTGTATGTGTGTATACATATACATATATACATTGAAATAACCATAGGTGAGTTTATTTAAAATCATAGGTATGGATGAACATGCTTATGACATGAAATAATGAAATATTGTGGTAGATATAATAGTATTCTTTATATAACTTTATAACACATATGGTAAATGCAGAAAATACTTATTAAAATAGGAAAGTGATCCTTTTACATAATTTCAACTTTTTTTAATTCCTTGCAAACTCCCTTAATTTGGGGGACTAGAAAGAGTTTAAAAATACTTAAAATTCAAGTCCCTGTAGAGATTAGAATGTCATTATAATTAACCATAAACCTAATTAATTTTATCGTAACTCATTTGAAGAAAAACTAACAGAAGAAAATGGTCAGTGTGGTTCATAAAGACATGAAGGTAAGTCTTGACCTAACATCTGTAATCCCAGCATTCAGGAAGCTGAGGTAGGAGGATTACAAATTAGAGGACACCTGTGCAACACAGTAAGATTCTGTCTCAGACAAAAGAACCTTGATCTTTGAGATATAGGTATAAGGTTCCATGTGGTCATTTCTGTCAAAAGGAATGTCAACAGGAAAGGTAAGCATTTCTTTTTTATCCCCAATGGTCATTGAAATGGGAAAGTCACCCTTTGAGTAAGAAAACTTGAGAAGGAGCTTGGAGGTGGTGGCCCATGTCTTTAATCCCAGCACTCGGGAGGAAGAGGCAGGTGAGTATCTATGAGTTTGGGGACAGCCTGATCGACAGAGCAAGTTACAGGATAGCTAGGGCTGCACCGAGGAGAGAGAGAGAGAAAAAAAAAAAAAAAAAAAAGAGGAGGAAAGAAGGCGGCGGCGAAAGCGAGAAGGCCAGGGTACTTGCCTATAATTCTCACAACCTGAGAAGCTGAGGTGGAAGGATTGAGAGTTTGAGGCCAACCTAGGCTGTTTAGTGAGAACCTGTCTCAAAAGAGGAGGCTAAGAAGGTGGCTCAGCAGTTAAGAGCACATCCTGTCCTTGCAGAGGACTTGAGTTTCATTCCAGCACGCATGTCAGGTGGCTCCCAGTGGACCAACACCGACAGCTTTGGGTGTATCAGCACTCACCTGAATATACACATAGCTTAAAAATTAATATTTCCTATTTTTAAAAAGTTGGAATATAGCTTATTATGTTTAAAAAGTTGGAATATAACATGGATAGGAAGCCTTGTGTGATCTCCAACATTGCATAAACTGGACGTAGTAGCATATGCCTATAATCCCACTCCTTGAGAGGTGGAGGCAGGAGGACTAGAGATCAGAAGAATAAGATGACACAGAAAGAGCTCAAGGCCAGAGTCGGGTGTGTGCGTGCGTGCGTGCGTGTGTGTGTGTGTGTGTGTGTGTGTGTGTGTGTGATTATTTTAATCTAGCTGATTGCTAACAGGATTATTACTGAGAAGGGACATTAATATTTATTGTGTGATACTTATGAGTCAGGCAGTAGTTTCCAGATTGAAACTAAGACTCAGGTAAGAATCAGGTCCATTCATTTATGATTGAAACCAAGCTAACCACAGATCTTTACATACAGTACCACATGCTCCTGCAATGATATGAGATTTATGATTTGAGTAACCTAGGTTTTGACTCAAGAGTCAACCACACCATTCACGAAACTTGGAAAAGGCCAGAGCTCTATTTTTTTTTTTTTTTAATTCAGATGTAGCAGTTTCGAACAAAATTGGAGGTCACTTGTTAACTGTGAGCTAGCACAGAATGACTGACCTGAGTGGTGGACTTCTCTGGATGAGTCCCTGAGAATTCCTAGAAGTCAGGGAGAATAAGGAGAATTCCAAAGCCTTCCCTATGTACAAGGAAGTTCCGATTGTCTTACGAACTTGGTCAAGGGTTTAGTGTCAGGTCCATGGATAGATTTGGTTTCCATCTGGGTAGTGATTTTCTATGAGGAATTGTAACTAACACAAGATGTTTAATAGAAAGCTCATTCCTTTGTGACATCATCAGACAGATTGTAAAGAGAACCATTTAAAACACTCCGAACAGCAGCCACTTTCATGGGGGACCAAGAACAGCAGCCCTGAAAACAATGAGGATAAACACTCACGTTTAATTGGGATCCTGAAAACAAGCCAGCTGATAAAACATGGCATCTACCCAGAAGGCCACAGTCTTTCAGGTGTTGAAGACAAATAAAAGTGGGTCCAAGGTAGCAGTTTCATCACACAGAGGGGCTGAAGTTACTGCCTACACTCCTCAGCGGGGACATGGGTATATTTCCTCAAGCCAGCGGGGTCCTCCTGTCTCCCTGAGTCCTTCTTCCCACAGAAGATCTGAAGCTGCATATCTCAACACTCACTGTTCAAATTCAGACTATCCTCGATCTCTGTCCCCACAGTCAGGGCCTGGCCTCTCTACCATGTCCACTCCTAGGGGAACTGAGACCCGACCAAGAACAGAGGCAAGCCGCCATCGCTCTCCTCATCGAAAGAACCAGTCAGTCCAGACACAAACTTACCATCTCTCAGGAGGGCATCGGAATGTCAGTCCACTGAGGGAAGAATCAACACGAAGATGTGAGAACAAGCCAGGCCGTGACCCTGGCTACCATTCCTCTTTGGCTACTGATGGCAAATACCGTCACTTGATTTTTATTAGTGAAAAAGAGGAGGACCCACCTTCCAAAGTCCAGAACCCCCAGGGGGTTAGAGTACCCCGTAGAATTTCCATTCACCCAAAGGACGAAGCTATACAAACAGAGCCCACCCGAAGGATTGCCGAGGTCAAATCTTCAAGAAATGTCTCAGAGCATGGCAATCGTGTCACTAGTGACCATCAGGCAATCCTTAGAAAGACCCCTACCCAGGAACCAGAAATTGGTCCTCCCAGCTCAATTCTTTCAGAACCTAAGCAAAAAGCCATGAAAGTGTCATCAGGCCTCAAGCTTTCTGTTCTTAGAGATTTAGATGGGGCACCTCGAGTTCCTTTGCGTTCAGATCGTTCAGTCTATATTGAGAACAAGCCCTCATCAAAGGTTTTAATATCAGAAATGGAGCCCACTGTGAGGTCTCCAAACAGAGACCGTGAGAGTGGGCGCAAGGTGACCATCTCCCCAGGAAAACAGTCCGTACAACAGTCACCTCATCGAGTGACAGTTCGAGCAGCACCTGAAGGACACTATAGATCTCCCCTGTATTCAGAGCTCTCGCCGAAGCCCTCCACCCATGCAGAACTGGAGTTGACCCCTCGACCTTTGCCCCCAAGGTCCTTACCTAGGTATGGGCCTGGTTGCTCATGGTGGGCCTTACTGAATCCTAAAGTTGAAACACCCCCAAACCAGCCATCAGTATTTGATTTTGAACCTACGTCCCCTCCTCCCCTAGACCCTTTAGAGTCATTTTTTGAGATGGACTCAAACCCTTTCTGTGAGGATCTGGTGTTCCAGAGAGAAAAAGTAAGCCTACCATGTTCACCAAAGGAGTCTCTGCATCGAGTACCATTGACAGAAGTGCCAAAGACCCTGAAGTACACCAACAAACAACCCATTCAAGGGTTCAATGCTTTCTTCCTGGGTATGTGATGGAGCAAAGTGCCCAGGTGCAGCCCACATTCAGTGCAATAGGACATTGGGGTGGGCAGGAAAGCACCCCCTCTTCATTCTGGGCCCCAAGGCTGCCTTCCTGCTAGTGTCAAGCTGCTTCTATCTCTGAGCTCAGTGCTCTGTGCCTTGGCTGCCAGCTTCTCTGAGCTCCAGGCTAATGACATCAATGCAAACAGTTAAATCTGGAGTTGGGCACTACCTCCAACAGGCAGTGCAGCTTAACTCTTCCATGGAAGATAGAGAGCAGATTGCTGGGTCAGAAGAAGACTCCTCATAGTGTAAATAAAGACCTGAGACAGGTTGAGGGATATTAGAAACAGTAAGGGCCTTAGGTTAATATCCTGATTTCAAAGTAGAGGAGGTCAGGCACACATGGGACTGTGTCTCAAAGGGCCAAGGGGTGGGTGACATTGCACAGGCAGGAAAAAGAAGTTCCTGTTACTTTCAGATGTTTCTGAGGAAATGTACAACCGGATCCTCTGGTGGCTGAAAGGTCTGTGTTCCCCCTTCTTGTGGGGGCTGGGGAATGGGAAGGGAGGGTGAGAGGGTGGCCACCATGCCTGTTTTGTATCATTAAGTCCTTCAGGAAAGTTAATGAGTAGGGTTTAGACCCTCAATTCTGTTATGAGTTATCCCTTTGGGAATGTGAACCTTTTTCAACAATGAGTTCTGATGAGAACTCACTTCCTGGAAGGAGAACAACATAAACCCTGTGGTCCTTAAACTTAATCTCATCTATCCTATGTTGGGTTTTTGTTGTTGTTGGTTTGTTTTTTGTGACAAGATCTTGTTATGTAGCCTTGCCTGGCCTTGACCTTGCTATGTAGACCAGGATGGCCTTGAATAGAGATCTGCCTGCCTCCAAAGTGCCAGGACTAAAGGCGAGTACCACCATACTCAGCTTCTATCACATCTTTAAAGATTTACTTGATGTGTATGGGGTCTTTTGTCTGCATGTATCTCTGTGCCAATGAAGGACAGAAGAGGGCATCAGATCCTCTGGAACAGGAGTTACAGACAGTTGTGAGCTGCTATGTGGGTGTTGGGAATTGAATCTGGTTCCTCTGCAAGAGCAGCAGCCACTGCTCTTAGCCACTGAGGTATCTCTCTAGCAACCTATTATGTGTTTTAAAGAAACAAACCACCTGCTTTGAAGTCTTGCCCATTCCTGACTCCATAGTGCCACACTAGTCAAGAGTTCAGAGCTCTTTTCGAGCCTAGCCTCCACTTGTTGCCCTGGTAGGATCTCTGAGCATGCTCACCCTTCCCCTCTCCACACCACTGGGGCTTGCATTCACCTCTGCAATCATTGGCATCCTCTCAGGTCCTTCTGTTCCTTTTTATTCTTGGCCACTGGTGGCATGGGAGTGTGAGGATCAGACCTCAAAGAGCGAGTGTGCCTTGGTAGCAGAGAATTCTTGCTGGAAGAATTATGGCATGATAAGCTCCTAGCCTATAAATGGGACACAGGCCAGGGCTCTGGTTGACATTCCTCGGGAGGAGGGAGTCCTATGAACTCAATCCTAATCCTCCTCCCATTTGTTGGGTCTGACCAGTGTGGGCTGCTTTATATGAAAAGCATCATGAACACTCAGTAAATGTAAATGTAGCTGCTGTTTTTCAGGACGTCTGGGGCCCCAGGAAGGGACTTGGGTTGGGATATGCCCATATCAACTGGACATCTTTAGTAACATTCTCTTTTCCCCTTCTTGTTGACACTTTGTGAATTCCATTTGCTGCCCCCCTGGAAATGCCTGGCTTCTACTTCTTTGTTATGACAGATGAGGAGGTAAGAATCCCTCTGGGAAGTAACTTTCAGACCAGTGTCCCAACCCCTTATCTAACTCCTACTCCTGTTGTCTGATGGAAGGGGATGTGGAAGGAGACAGAACTGCAACATGTGTTAAGGTAGGCTGTTCACTGCACAGAAGGGCACTGTGTTGCACCCAGGGATATTTGTACAAAAGTGTTACACGAGCTAAAGTTGCACCTTTGAAGAGAGAGAATAAAGCTCTTTTGCCCAGTGCTCTGTGGGAATATGGGCAGCTATGGACTGGGTCATTCCCCATCTGGCTCTTTGCTCTCCTGCCTAGCGTGCTTCAGAAAGGGGTTGCCTCTCTGGGTTACACACTGAGTCTTTGAGTTGGAGAAGCATGAAGTGGGCTCTGTTCTTGGCAGCTCTGCGTCCTAAATTTGGCAGTGTCCTGATTTTGCAGTGCATTTACTACTGTTCCTTTAAGTACTTGTGCTCATCTTGGTCCATGTTTGATAAGATGGTCAAAGCTCTTTCTGCCTCCGTTCTTTCTTGGACCATATTTGTTTCTCACCCAAAGCCTAGCAAAGGCTTCTCGTGAACCCATCCATGGCTGACTGACCCACTATGAACAAGACTTCAGATAGAAAAGGAGTGGAGACAGCAAGAGCTCAGAACAGCTGAAGGGAGGTGTTCAGGAATGCAGTTACTGCCCCCTCTGCTATGAGTTCTTATCCAGCCTCAGGCCTGAACTCAGCTGTAGGTGGGAGCAGCCATTTTTAGAGACTCTCTAAGCAAAGCAGTAAGTCCCTCTTTCCTCTGTGTCCTCCAGTCCCGCCAGCTCCTTCATTCCATAGACAGCTTTTTAATCAAGGGTGTGATACTCTGCCAGGTACTAGTACACACACACACACACACACACACACACACACACACACACACACACACGCCAGTTCTTTGCTTTGAGATCCTGTCTACACAAATGGGGAGATAAGACATGGATAGGAAAAAAAAAATAACAATATGTACTCGTCTGTGCTCAAATACTCCAACAACAAACGTTCTGAATGAATGGTCTTGGAAGGGCTTAAGAGATGGGGAGTCAGGAGGAGGGTAAGTAGAGGGTGCTTACACCCTCCTAACAAAGCCACAGAGAGATAGCTTAATACAAATGTATACCTTTGGGAAGGGGGACTGTCGTCTTTGGTTCAGGATTTGATGTCTGTGACTGAGCAAGCTCCTTTCGTCTTCCCCAGCCCCACCCCCATTTCTGTGCATCTTGTTTTAGTTTAGGAAGTCAAAAGCCTTGGCAGCCTAGTGACTTCTTCCCAAAATAGCTCTTATCCTGTCTGGATAATTACAGCTCTTCAGCCCTGTTCAGCAGCAAAGCTGCTCCCCAGAAGCTGGGACAAGAAGGCTCTCAGGCAGCTGGGCTACCACTCTTCTCTGGCTCTCTGGAAGCAGGGTTTGGATAGAGTTGGGCAAAGTAGTCTAGTCTCCATGAAAAGCCAGCTTCCCCAGTCTGTCCTTTCAGGTTATGTAACCCTTAGGCAGTCCTAGGATGGAGACTCCACCATGGTCCTAGTGTGCATGGTTCCTCTGATTTGGGAATGCTTGACCATAGAGACTGTTCCAGATTCCATTCCCAGCAGGAACTCTCTAGTGGCTTGGCCCCAGGAGCTGGCTCGTGAAAGACATATAAAAGGACTCATTTTATATGCCAGATTCAGTCTCCTTTGGTGTAAGAAGTGGGGTTGAGAGATGCATTGCATCCTTGGATTGGAATGATAGGGTCCTAGTCTCTTCGAAAAGACTGTGATAGATCAAGGGCAACATTCCTAATGTGTGTGTATTAGCAGAATCTCAACAAGACGGTCCTACAGGGCCTTCAGTGGGCCAGGAAAATGGCCTTCTCCTTTGGGCTATGGAGTTCCTGGAAATAATGCAGCTCTTAGTACAAAGGGCAGCAATACCTCTGATGGACAGGTCTACTCCAGCCCCAAGATCATCTGTCTACAGGATACCTAACCCGCTAGCCTCTGGACTTGACATCTCAGGCTATCAGAGGATGAAGTGGTTTCTTCTTTGCTGTATCTATCAATTATGCAAAAATCCAACTCTGGAAATTAGGGCAGGAACCAGAAGATGCCATTGCAGTGGCACTCAAGGCAAACTGGAGATGTCTTCAGGGTAATACATCCGGTTGATCCCTGGAGGACAGGGTGATCAGACTCCTGCTGACTTCTGTACCCTGAGGATGTTCGGCTCTGAGGCACTCTATTTACAAAGGAAAGCAAGAAGTCTCTTTGAAACTCGGGAGTCCCCATTCAGGAAGATGGGAACAGAATCCTAGAATGTAAACTATTTGAAAGGAATCCTGGGAACTCCCTTTCCCCATTCCTCTGGCTTCCTGTGGAGGCTAGTGTTGAAAGCATAGAGCACTGGGAGTGACAATGAGGCAGGACAGTCTCAGAAGGCTTCTCACAGCAGCTTGACCACCCCACTACTCAGCTTCTTACCCTCTCAGGGCCACCTTGTTTCTTTTCAGCTACCATGGGCAGCCAGTTCTGGAGCAGGATGAACAGCTGGGGACTTCTGACCCATGACTAATTTGGGGACAGGTTAGGTTGACCAACTTAGAAGGGTTTATTACTTAAAAGTCCTGCTTTCCATGAACCCTCCTTATTCTGGACAAGCAAAGACTCATGGAGCATTCTACCCCAGCACTGACCTCTGGAGAGGAGGGAGTTGAGGGGTGGTTTCCCAGCTTCACCCTGAGACCCTGGCAACTTACTCTTAGCCTGTTGTGATGAGGGCAGGAAAATGTGATTCCTCCCTGGCTTTGATGGTGGAACTGAAGCTGAACTTAGTTTTTGTTGTTCAAGTAATCTCACACAGGCTCATACATTCTGGACTTCCTAATATGTTTTTCTTTTATGTTAATTTATGGGTATAGGTATTTTTGCCTGGAAGTATGTCAGTGTACCACATTTGTGCCTGTTAACCCTCGAAACTAGAAAAAGGCATCAGATCCCCTGAAATGGGGCTACAATATGGTTGTGAACTACCCCATGGGTGCTGGGAATCAAACCTGGGTCCTCTGGAAGAGCTCTTAACCATTGAAATATATCTCCAGACCTTCACTCCCTCCCATTAGTAGACCTTGAAGAGCTAATTGCCTTCCTGACTGGACTCCACTGTCAGTTTTAGTGATGTTTGAGATGGTGATTTTAGCAAGGGGAAAGACAGTGGGCTTAGGTAGATAAGGAACATTGGCTTCAGGGGGTAGAGTATTACTTGATTGAGGAAGAAAAGTCTTTAACCCAGAAGCCACCCTGGCAGCTGTTCAGCCTGAAGGCCGCTGTCAGGGCCAGCAGAAATGGCCATATCCCTTCACCCCCTGCTCAGCTGCCTCTGGTTCAGCTGCTGGGAGGGGAGCAGCAAGACAGCTGCTCCTCAGGGGCTGAAACAAAGGCTTGGAGGAGGGGAACAGAATGTGAATAATGCCTCTTAGTTCCTGAGAGAAGCCCAGCTCTGAGACTTGACCTGGAGAGGCCAAATCTGTTCCTTGGTAAACCCACCATAGTCAAAGTCAGCTAAGTCCAGACAGTATCTGTGTGGCTTTTCTTGGGAATGTGGGTTGGTTGGTCTAAGACCAAGACCTGGAAAGCTGACCCCACAGGTGGCTGTAGTATATTCCAAAGTCACTTGAAGGCATTACTCTGGTATTCTTTGCTCCCATCTCTCTATGGCCATTACCCATGGACACTCCTAATCCTTTGGAGGAAAACATTTGAAACAGCCACAGTTGGCAGCAGCTGGTTGGGTGTTGATAATGTCCTCATTTGCAGATATAATAGCTGCTATTCATCTTTACCATATCGTGTTACTAAATATTTAGAGCAGACTGTGGAGTAGACTTCTTCCTCTCCTTCACAGATGAAGAAACTGGGGATCTGGGCTTTGTCAAAGCTGAGAACACCAAGGAGCATCCCATTCTGGGATTCCACTGTGCAGTCCAGATATTCTTCTATAGCTGCATCTTCCTGAGAAGTACCTTTTCAATGTTTCAGAGACATCAAGAACTGTGAAAGGGATGGTGTTACTAGGGCAACATTCATGTCTCTGCATATGAGTTATGAGGCTGAGAGGTAGCCTGTGCTCGAGAGCAGACAGAATGAAGGACAAGTGATGGGTCAATGAAATAGAGAGCCTCAAGGCTTGTCTGTGCACTACAATCAGAATGGAAAACTAATTAGTGCATTTTTTTTTTTTTTAGTCAGTCCATATTGATTGGCCAGCTCCCCGAGGGGGGCGGGCAGGGCCCAGGTTACCATCCCATCACATATTCTCTGTCTGGTCCCTGGATAGAAGTCAACAGAGGTTGAAGCACACTCTAGCCCTTACAGGGCTTTTGCTTAATTTGGGAGAGAATACTATACAGGCAGGGCACTTGAAAGGGTGTGGACATCCGAGGACAAACAAGGTCTAATGAAATGAGTCAGCACATCTTCTAGCACTGAAGCATTTAGGAAAGGCCAGGGTGGGGGGAATACCTTGTCTCAGTATGACAAAAAACTTGGTAAATAAGTTCCTAAAGACTGAAGGGCAATAGAAAATCAGTGACCTGAGGATTGTGGGAGGTATTTAAAGAAGCTGGGAAGACTGAAGGAAGCTCTTGGGAGAGTCAGCCCTTTGAGGGAGTGATAACATCAGAAGGCCTGCAAGGCCTTTCCCACCTGGAACTTGTGTGTCTCAGAGACCAGAGACAAGAGTTGGAAATTCCTGCTTTGTTGAAATGGCTGGCTTTTAGCTTAGGGACTGCTCGCTGTGGGGAGCCACATAGCAGGTGCCAAGAAACAAAATAATCCCCAGCCTTGCCACCGCATCTCAGGCCTGTCCCAGGGACACGAGGCTGGGTGGACTAGGACAGTGGTGGTGGGCTTAAGGAGTTTTGTTTTTTTGTTTTTGTTTTTGTTTTTTTTTTTTTTTTTGGTGTGTGTGTGTTGTTTTGTTTTGTTTTTTGGTTTATCTGT